ACTCTGGGTACTCTACTTATCTCCTCTTTTGTCTTTCCTTTGTGATTTAAAGTCAACTTACTGATATCCTAAGGATCCCATAAAAGGCATCAACAGGGACATGGCCTGTCAAGGCCAGTTATCCTAGCAGCCATCCTAAACTGAATTAACCCAGCCTCTCACCATTCTGAACACAGATGGCCCTCTTTCTGGCTCAGTCCTCCATACCTTCAGGTTGCATGTAGGACCAAGCATACACTACTGGATCCACGTGAGAATTCAGGTGTCCTGTCTGTTCTTCATAACACACCACTTTCAGCATGAAAAAGTAGAATAAAAAGTGTTCCCACCTAATGCTATATCACCCGGATCTAGCTTCCATTAACAAACACAAAAGCCAACGTATATGTTTGCCCTAACTTTCTGGGCTCATGAAACAGAATATTTTAAGTTGGGTAACATTTGGAGTAATTAGAAAGGAACTATACCATTTCCTATGAGGTTTTCAAGACCTTGGGTTCTTGGCTATTCTCTTTTCTCTTTCTTTAATGGATTTAAATGTTATTTATAGGTTAACAACTAACTGGCTTTTCTTTTCTTTTTTTTAATAACTGTAGACCAAAACTGTCTTCTGAGCTTCAGACTTCTATCCAGTTCATTTTGGCTCTCATACATTTAAGAGCACCAACTCAGGATTCTCAATTTTACCCACCTCTCCCGCCCACTGTAAGCAGTCTTCCTAATCTTATGTGGCTATCATCTACACAGCCTCTCAAGCCGTAAACATGGGGTTCACCTTTTGAATGTTATTTTTTGCTTCAATTTCAGCACTGAATCCATCACTACATTATCCTATTCTTCCTCTAATATATGTATGTGTAAATATATACAGACATGTATATGTTATGTGTTATCCACACATGTGTTTCTACCCACTTCATTACAGCACTACAATCAGCACACTCTCTAAGCCAGTGGATCTCAAAGTGCCATCAGCCTTACACAGGGACTCTTAGAAAGGCAGATATTTGAGCCTCCTCCCAGTCTGAGACCTTCTGGGTCTTAGAGGCCGCTTTCAGACAACAGTTTTGAGCAATGGAAACTTGATCAAGACAAAGGGGCCCACAGTGACCCCCTGGCTGAATACTGATAGGCCCATCAGGGTACCTACCTCAAGATAGCCACTGGCCCTAATTGACTAATGGGCTACTTACCACCAAGCACAGTTCTCTATGTCCCCATACCTCCATACCTTCCTCCTTTAAAAACAGCCCCCACGCACTGTGTGGTTGCAGTTTCTCCTTTGCCGTCCTTCCCATGGCTACCTTGTGGTGTATTCCATACATTTCTATCGCCTTTGTTCTGCCTCGGGTAAATCCTTTCCCCACAGGCACCACTAGCTTCCACTCCATCGCTGCCCCACATTTGGGGGCCCCCAACCGGTTGAGACAGACACCACATGAATCAGAAACCCATTTGGTGCGGGGCAGCAATCTGTGTTTTCACAAATGCTCTGATGATCCTGCTACTTGCTGAGGTTTGAGAACCCCTTCACTAACCATCCTATTTCACTTGATAGCTAAAATCAACTCTCAGTTGGTCTTCCTCTCCCACTCTTGCCCCTTCCAATTCATTACCTTCCTAGCAGACAAAATAATTTATTTCTAAATTTGATCTAGTCACTCCCCTGTTTAATACTTCTCATTGGCTTTTAAATGCACTCAGAATAAATTTTAAAAATGTTTTAGCATAGCCTGCAAAGGACTTCATGCTATGTGTCTTATCAATGGCTCTGACCTTTCCTACCACCCATCCTCCTCTCCCTTAGTCACGCCATTGCTAAGGCAGCCTCCTACCTGCTTGGTGGATCACTCCTATTCCTCACAGTCCTGGCTGCTCATCTGGGAGGTCTCTCTCCACTTCCATCATTCTCCCTGCTCCATGACTCTTCTCACACTTTCGAATCTCCATATATACATCCGTTTACTTGTGTATCATGCACCTCCAATCCTAGATCATCAATTTTGTGAGAACAGGGACCACATTTGTTTTCTTCCAACACTGTGTACCCATTGCCTCCTGAGATGCATCATAGGTGCATTAAAAACAAACAAAAACCTGTTAAATGGCTAATGAAATGCAATTCCTATGAAGGATAAAATACAAACCAAAATTTTAAAAAAATGGTGTTGATGTTGGTCATTAAAAATTGTGGGCTTAAGAATTCCCAGGTAATATCTGGAGTTGGTGTGAAGCATGGTTGGGATTCTTTTGTGCATGGACAAATTACACATGCCGGGGATTTAACACTGGTGCAGAGGGTTATGCTAGCAAGGATTAATGCACTATATAATCTTGTGGGTCTTACAATAAGTCCTGAGCAGTTCACATGGATAGCACAGACCTTGATTCTCTCTACCTTTAGTTCTGGCTAATCCATCTTTGTATCCCACAGGCAACACCCATTCAAAACACACTTTGGGTATGTCAGCCAGGTTATGCTACTTTGATTCTGCTTTTGATTACCACCCCTCGAGTTTACCTGCTGAACTTTATTTGCTTGTTTTGCTTTTATTTTCTCTTTTTGCTCACAAGTTTAGTATGCTTTAAGCTCAGGATAATTTTAGCTTTTTCTTTGCTTCTAGTACTCAGCATTCATCCCAGCCATGGCTGGCACTGGCTGGCTGGCTCCATGCATTCTTGGATGCCAGATCACAATCCTTTGGACCCAATCATTGTGTGAGCTCACTTGGATGGGAGATCTCAGGGGAGGGAGAACTGGACAGGTATAAACACAGCAAGGCCAGAGCCATGTGCAAATAAGGTAACTGGCCTGTGGTGGCCTCACCAACCCCCCACTTATGAACAATCCTCTCGTCGAAACCATGACCCAAACTCTCCACTGCTATGACATTAATTCTGTTTTCTACTCTCAAGAAGCCCTTCTCTCAATAATTTCCAAAATGCCTTCTAAAGGTATAGACTGGTAAATGCTAACAGCATAATTCCCAGCTTTGTAAGATATATTAGAAGGAATTTTCTGGGATAGGGCCTGTGATGGTTCATTTTATGTGCATGGGGCACCCAACCATTCGGCTAAGCAGTATTCTAGGCAGGCCTGTGAGGGTGTTTCTGAATGAGCTGAATATTTAAACTGGTACAGTGAGCAAAACAGATGGCCCTCCCCAATGTGAGTAGGCCTAAACAAACTTGAGAGCTGAAATACAATAAAAAGGCTGAGTCAGAAAGAATCCTCTCTGCTTATCTTCCCGTTGGGACATAAGTCTTCCCCTGACTTCACACACTCAGACTGGAACTTACACCATTACACCTTTGGCTCTCCTGGGTCTCCGGCTTGCCAATTAGACATCTTGGGACTTCTCATCCTTCATAGTTGAATGAGCCATTTCCTTATAGTCTAGCTATCTATCATCTATCCTATTGGTCCCATTTCTCTGAGGAACCCAGAGTAATTCAGGAAACTTCTGGACCAAAGAAAATCATGTGCCTGTATATACTATAATATTTATGAAGCCGGGATGTTCTACCCAATTTATAAAGCTTGCCCAATGTAGCCAGCCACCATGCCACTGCAGGAAGGGACCTGCTGCAGAACCTCTTGAAGTGTAACCCTATCGAGTACAACTCAGCACAGAGGCCCCACAATACCCTTACTTCTCCGACTTCTGCTGCACTAGGTTCCAGGACCCCAACCACCAGGCTAGGGCCTGACCTATTTAAGATCCCTTCCAGGAGAGGAGGAAAATCATGGGAAGCATGAGATGCTGAGCTCCAGCTAGGTTTGGCCCAGCCAGGGTGGAAGTACCCTAGCTCATGCTCTTTACTACCTGTAAAGATTGGTGGATTTATTTAAATTAACAATAATTTCAAGTAGGACATTGTAAATATTATGAGAAGCACACTGTTGAATGTTGAACCTGAACTATTAAGAAACCAAAAAAAAGTTTTTTTAAATGGCCAGAAAGCTGTTAGCTAACATCGAGGCAGGCACATTCCAAACAGAACATAAACAACTTCAGCAGAATATAAATGATAATCAGACAAAGCCACTCAATGACTATGGTGGAACAAGACAAAAAACAAGGCCACTCCACAACTGGGTCTGCAACCAGACAGAAACAAGGATACTCTGCAACCACAAATATAATATGTCCCTTCTTCAGTTCTCTAAAGTGCCTACTGTTTCTTTTTTAAGTGACAACTCTTGCTTAGCCTTTATCTTCCCTTCCCCTACACAAAAATCACCAAGCTGTACTATCATCAACTTGTGTCTATTTTCTAAGAGGACCCAAACCAAAAATAGCCCTAGTTTCCCTAAACCTCCTGAAAATCACCCACCTTAGCCCCAAACATATAATAAATGACATCTAAACTCCTTCATCATGAAGAGGTTTTGCTGGCAGGAGCTTCTCCTCATGCAACTAAAAGTTAAATAAACGTAACTGCGTCTGACTACAGATGAGCTCCTGATGGTCTCTGGCTGGTGCACTTTAACCTAACCTCCACAAGGAAGTGGCCGCTTACTCAAGGTCATGTTTGACAAGAAGAGGAAGAGATTATGGATGTTAACATTGCAATTACTCAGAGAATCTCAGTAAAAACTAAAGTGACTCACTAAAATGCCCTAAATGAAAAAAATACATCATCATATGAAGAAGAAAAGAAAGAAGAAAGAAAAGCTGACCGAGAGAAGGATCTTTTAAAGAATTAGCGGGTAACTTGTCTGTTAGGCACTTCAAGCCTCAGGCTAAATGAGATCATTCACATAAGTGCTGAGTATAATGCCCAGCACAAATTCAAAGCACATTTTTATCATCATAATCATCATCACTATCACTCTTATATTATGGATTATCAATCCCTGCAGATGATTTTAACAGGATGCATGCCCACATATATATCCACACAAACATAAAAACAAGAACGCTTGCCTAATTGAGCATATTAAAAGTCTGTCTGTTCATCACATAAGCAAAGGGAAAGGAACAATTAATACTCACATTGAGCTGAAGTTCATCTGTCCACTGTCCAATCAGACGGTAACCAGGGTTGGTGGTGTTTGTGGTCTGGTACTGAAAGATGTCATAACGCCCAGGTGCATCCCCATTTTTGTTAAACATTACTGGGGTGCCTGCACTCCCTGAGGAAGACAAGAAAATGCCAGATTTTATAATCGAGATTCCTTCTACCTCTTATGCCTTCGGTGATGGTCTGGAGACCTGCTGATGAGCAAGGTAGCTAGTAGATAACCCCATGTTTAATAGGCTCCCCCCTAGATGGGCAATGGATAACCCATGGGTGGGTCATCCCTATGGCCTGTGGATGCTTACTAGAGAAGGTGGGAAGGTGACCTGCTTCCCCTTTTGAACAGTTCTATTTCTCAATATTTCTTAGTATTTTATGCTAATCTTTCCCCTTGTGGAGAAAATTAAATGCATTTTTCCCAGAGACCATCTTAAGTTGTATTATTATTTTAGTTTCCACTTAATTATCAATTGTGGTTAGTAAAGAACCATTTCAAAAATAATACATTTTTAAAAGGAAATCTAAGAGGATTAAAAAATGAAGAAAAAAGTTTACTTAAATATGTACTTGGATATTGATTGCATTTAAACATATTTGTTGCTGGTCATGTCTAATTTATATGATAACCAGTCTAAAATGCTTAGTAATGTACATGGAAAGTATTTAATATTTTTTTCTCAATCTGCTATGTAGGTCTTACTTCTTTAAAATGTGGGTCTTAGATGAAACCCATTATTTTGGCAGAATTAGACACTGAAGTCAACTTAAAAAGACTGACACATTCATCGAGAGAGAGAGAGAGTGTGTATGTGTGTCCATGTGTATCCTTTCAAAGTTAGATGTGAATGAAAAGCTTAGTAGTATTAACCACGTGGAACAACTAGCAAATCATACACAGAGAACAAAAGATGTGGGTTTGGGTTACTTTCAGCAAGAGTTACAAAGGATTCATCAAAAGTTGGCAAACTGAGTGCTGTTTCTCTCATGATCCCTTGGAAATAGGATAAATACCACCGGTCTCAGGGTATGTGACTGGTATCTGTTCTCTAAGTTAATACTGGATTGATATTTTTCAGAGGAAACAATGATATAGTTCCTGTCTTTTACAAGGAAGTTAAAGATCATTTATAAGCTGAAACAGAATCACTAAGAACAGAAATTCATTTTGTTATTTTTTGTTGGAGAGGGGTGGAGTAATTTCAGGTAATGAGCATCAAGCCCATTTGAGAATTCTCATTATAAATTTAAGACCCAAATGATTGCAAAGTTCTGCATTTGGTTAGCAAAGTCACTAGCTTCTGCAGAAGCTGGGCCGACATGGTATTTGCATTAATAGCATGGATGGGGTTGGTGGGGAGTCATGTTAACTGGAAAAGAGTAAACAAGCTTAAAACAGTTAAAAAAATAAAAGGCACACCTATACTTAAGGAAGCAGGTGTGATGCTGAGTGGCCACACATGAATAATCACTCAACACAAGAAAAGAGAAAATGGATCCAGACAGAGTGACAACATTTAGGTCATCAGAGACATACAGAATTACAATCCTATGCTGAAAGTTACCTCTAGTAGAAGAGGGGGTTCAATATATAGGCAGGATTCAGGAACAACTAAAGAACTCCACACTATCCTACAACTGTCAAGTATAGGATTTTATAATTCTTTGGTATTGAAAATGAAAAAAAAAAAATTGGAGCTTATAGTATGTTCAGTAATGGCTCCCCAAATATTTCCATGTCCTAATCCCCAGAACCTGTGAATGTTACCATACAAAATGAGAGATTTTTGGAAATATGATTAGGGATCATGAAATGGGAGAAGATTATCTTGGATTATCTGTGTGAGCCCAGTGCAATCATAATGATCCCTATAGGAAAAAGGGAACAGGAATCAAAGGAGGAAGGAGCTGTAATGGTCAAAACAAGAAGTTAGAGTGATGTGAGGAAGGGTTCATGACCCCAGAAGGGCAAGTGACCCTCACAAGCTAGAAAAATCAAGGAAACAGATTCTTTTCCAGAGCCTACAGAAGGAACCAAACCCGCCTTCACCTTAACAAAGCCTGGTGAGACCTGTGTCAGACTCCCAAACTACAGAACTATAAGATCATAAATTTATATTGTTTAAGCCACTAAATTTATAGTACTTAATAGTACTTAATAACTGGCTTTGGAATCCCCAAGAAGGGGTTTAAATTCCAGAAACCACCTTCTAAGTGTGACTGTTACCACGTTATTCATTCTCCTTTAACTTCTGACCACCCCTAATGGGTTAGTGCGGATTCAATGTAATAAAGTATATAAACTGCTTAGTTCCATGCCTTTTACATAACAAATGCTCAATAGATGGGAATGATTTTATTGTTTTTGTTTTTGTTTTTTTTTTAATAAAGTAAGTCATTTTTTTTATTCTTATGTTAATCCCCATACATTACATCATTAGTTTTAGATGAAGTGTTCTATGATTCATTGTTTGTGCATAACACCCAG